TGTTTATTTATACTGAAGTATAGTTGATATACAATACTGTGTTAGTTTCAAGTATACAGCACAGTGATTCAGTCACACACACACACACATGCACACACATATGTATATATACATATATATATATATATATATATATATATATATTCTTTTTCAGTCTTTTCCTGTATAGGTTATTACAAAATATTGAGTATAGTTCCCTGTGCTCTACAGTAGGTCCTTGTTGTTTATCTGTTGTTTATAGTAGTGTGTATCTGTTAACCCCAACCTCCTAATTTATCCTTTCCCCCTTTTCCCCTTTGGTAACCATAAGTTTGTTTTCCATGTCTAGTTGTATTTATTTCCTTAACAGAAAATGCTGGTGAGTAGAAACAGTGCTTTGGGATTGAAAGGATAGGTGGGGAAATTCTGGTCTATGAAAGGGAGGAGTTGGGAATGAGAACTATTCAGGTGGAGGATAAGATTATTTTTTATCCACCTTTTATCTTGGGCAAAAATGTTCCCAATGTGGTACCAAGGCCAGGTTGCTCCTGGCATTTCAAGTCCAATGCTTCGTGGTAAGCACACGTTGGCTCCGGTTTCCAACTATCCTCTTACAGGACATAAAGAGGAGTGTGAAAAAGGGGACCAGGTAAGCTGTTTTCTTCCAGTTACTCAGCGTATAGTAACAGAGTGGAATTCATAATCCCGGATGGTAACCTTTGTCATTGTTCTGGAAGCCACCTCCTAGATCTACGTTCTACCCAAAGGAGGGGGCAATGAAGGGCTCGGGGCACAATGCAGCCCCTGCTAAAAGGAAAATCTGTTACATCTTTGCATCTCCAGACCTGCTGCCTGCTACTGATACCCTGAAACCACAGCAAGAGGCGGTTCCCCAGGCAGCATGTGCTCTTCAGAAAAATCAAGTTTTAAACCAAGGTTTCTCAACTCACCGTTATTGACATTTTGGGATGGATAATTGCCTGTTATGGGGCTGCTCTGTGTGCATTGCAGGATGTTTAGCAGCAACACTGATCTTTATTCATTAGATGCCAGTAGCATGTCTCCCCTTACAGTCTTTTCCCCCAAAGCCTGGAGATATTGTCACATGTCCTCTGGGATGCAGAAGAGCCTCTGCTTGAGAACCACTGATGGAAACAAAGTCCTTTCACTTGGCTATGGGAAGGGTGAGGTTGTAACACCAGGGGGAGGGTAGAAAAGGAGAAAGATGAGGTAAATATACAGATTTAAACATTTTCCTTTGATTAAAAATTATTAACATATTTAAGAAAGAAAACCTATCTGCTTCCATATGTAATATTGGCTGTCTGGCCTTTAGCTTGCAATCTGCAGAAGAGATCTTGTGAACGAATGATAGCAGTTCAGTCCTTCACCCAATACTTAGCTGTCGAGCTGAATTGATCAAATTCTCTACATGGGTCTCTGCGGGTCTGCGTTAATGCAGTGGCCTTGAAAGGTGCTAGTCAAAAAGATGTCAAGCAAAGGTAGCTAGGGCAATACTGGGGTGACACTACTGTCACCATGCCTTTGCTTCACCCATGTTGGTCTACATGTTTTATGTGGGATCGTAATTCTCTTTTTACTGTTTAGGAGGAAAGGATGGGGAACTGGGAAGATGCTTAGCCTTGGTGGGTGATATGAGAGGTACCGAGAGCAGAGATGTGGGTGAGGTTTGGAGGTGAGATGAGGTCTATATAATTATTATATATGTCTCAACTGACAATAGATACAATTTTAAAAGCTGAACACATATTGATGTTTTTGTAAACCTACTAATTTAGGTGGCAATGAGTCCATTACATTGCAAGCAATTCTACAGCAAATCATTTAGCAAAAATCAGTAGTCACTGAATCATTTATCTTTTTTTATTTATCTTTTTGATTAATATTTCCATAATGCGGATTATGCCTCACTGAAGCAAAATATGTAGGCAATTGAAAATGACAGTGGAATTCATTTTACAACCCAGGAGGTCTAGCTTTATTTATTAAAAAATTATTCATTCCTTTAGGAGTATAAAGCAATCTTTATTTTCAGGAGTATAATGTTGAAAGGTAATTACATTTGTCATAAATTGCACCTTTAACATCTACTCCCAAGTTCATTCGTCTATAATCTAAACAGCTAGTGACATCCACAATAGTTAATGTTAAAAATTTTCTCAACTCCAGAGCTTTAAATGCTTATTCATTAATTTCCTAAGTGTGTGTTAAAAAAAAACTTTCAAAAGAATGCACCTTAAAAATGTAAGACGTTAGATGAACAACTAAAAAGGAGACTAAAAACATAATCAAATTGGATTTTATGTAGTAATGTATTTGGATATAACATTTTGGGTACCATTTGATGTATGTCTATAAATTTTGGAAAAGCTTCCATTCTTAAGGTTAATAGCACTATCAGCCAGTTACATTATTTTATTAAAGAAGAATTCCTTTAAAAATCTTTTAAGTAAACAAATAAATCTGATGGAAGACAAAATTGATGAGACCCACAGTCTCACTGGTGTAAGCTTTTGCTTCCTGTTTCTATGATAACCTATGATCTATATTCTAATCACACCTTTAAAAGGCTTGTTTTCTCCATCATGAAAATTTAGCCAGTAGCACCGAAGACATTAAATTTTATGTCTCTTTTTGAAAAACTGAAAAAAGAGAAGATAGAAAGAAGATAACATCCAGAGACTTATCATGCAAACATAATAGGAACATATATTTACTAATTTTGAGGTGAGTTTACATGCCTGGAAGATCACAGGGATAAAAACTGAATGCTAAACGAAATAACTACACAGATACACTAACAAGTACACTCAGTACAGGTTTTGAGCATAAAATTGTAAGTGCTCATTTAATTTAATAGGGAAAAACTTAGAGACTTACTCACGACAGTTAAAAAAAATTATAGCCCAGTAGTTTTCAACCTGGAGTGATTTTTACCTCCCAGGGGACATTTGACAATGTCTGGAGACATTTTTGTCATCACAACTGGTGTTATTGTTGGTGGTGGTGACATGTGTGTGTGTTACTGGTAACTAGTGGATGGATAGAGGCCAACAGTGATGCTGAACAGCCTATAGTACACTGGACAGGTTCACCCCCATCCCCATTGGAAAATTATCTGCCCAAAACAGGAGGTTGAGAAACTCTACATCTAGCTTCATAGATAATGTGCTGGAAAGAGGGACATATATGTAACATATTAAATTATTGAACATTTACATTCAAATAAATAAAATGCTTTGGAGGAAACCCTAGTTGTAATTTGCTTCCCTGTTTTTGTACCATATTTACTTCTTTGTTATTTCATTTAAATGGCAAACAGAAAAAAGAAAAAATGAAAAAGACAGCAAAATTCCCCTGCCACTTTGGCTTTAATGTGTGAACTTCCAGCTTGCATGTCTTTGTCTAATTTGGTGTGGCCTGTATAAACTGTAAATACCTGCACAGCCGGGGAGCCTTGTTCCACTGCAAAACTTCCAGCCTAGTATGAGATTGACACTGCCACCCTGCTGAATTTAAATATAGTAATTAGATTCCAGTAAGTTTTCTCCCTGTTCATCGAAAATGGACTTACCCCAGTTGAAAGCGGATGCACTTGCCTTTGGCGTCTGCCTCCCTAAATACGGTTACATTTTGTCACCCCGATTTTGGAAAACATTTCTATCCTCGAATCCAGGCCCAGGTCTAGAGGGCAGAACCATCCTGGAGAGGAAACAGCAGCTCAATCATTTTTTTCTTTTCTTAGATGCGACGTAGGCGAGCATGAAAGCAATTCAGACACGGCCAGAGGGCGCCCAAATGCCGCAAATGAAAGTTCCAACGTTCAGATGGGTTTTGCAGGAAGGAAAAATTGGCTTTTGTCTAGTGAAAGAGCTACCATTCTAAACGATGTCGTATTTGCTTCTTGCCAACAGATAAGCAAGGTGAGCATATCTCCCCACCCTGGTGGTTACTCTGTATTCCTGTGTTAAACAAAGTGGCAGCCCCCCGGGCCACGCCGACACACGGCAGTTGGCTACGGTTTTGACCTGTGCGTTTCTGAGCGGCACTGTGCAGGTTGCCTCGGCTATAACTCAGTCTTCCTGAGAACCGGTGCCTCCATTAAAGCACAGGCATCAAAAAAAAACCCGACGGCTCCTTGCCTAGGGCTCTTGTCTTCCCTCCTTCCTCTCCCAAGTCCTGAGAGCATCCTCGCAGGGGCTACGCCGCCCGCCCGGCCAGCTGAACCTTAGCGCCGCGCTTGCCCAAAGCCGCAGCCTTCCCGGCTCAGCCCAGCGTGTACGCCCGCCGCCCGCCGAGCGCAGTCAGTCGGCCGGGGCGCCGCCCAGACGCGCCTGCAGTTGGAGGTCACTGTCAACCGCGCGGGCATCTGTCCTGATGGGCTGGGGGCAGCCACCAGGTCACCCCCGACCTCACTGCCTGCCCGGGGATCAGAATCTCAGCCGGACGTCGCGAGCGGCCGGGTTGGGATGCTGAGAAGGGTAGCAGGTGGCAGGGGGCGTCATTCACCACCTCGAGGCAGCCCCTGGAGTCTGAACGAGAGCCCGAGCACTTCTTATCCAACCGTTCCAAATAGAGGGAGAGAAAGAAAGTGAGAGAGAGAGAGAGAGAGATTGAGAAAAACAGAGAGTAGTGCCCACGGACATCTCCGGCGCCGCGGGGAAGGGGAGGCGACAGAGGTGGGGAGCAGGGGGACGGGAGAAGAGGGGAGGGGAGGTGAGGAGGGAGTGGGAAACCGGCGTTCAGATATGATGTAGAGAGGCAGGAGGGGCACAGGGATGGAGGGAAGGGGAGGAAAGGAGGGGATCAGCCGTTTAGAGGAGAAGGGAGGTGGGGGCAACCGGGATGGAGGGGATTTGAAGGGAGACGGGCGGGGCCCCAGCGCGGCGGGGAACTCAGGGGAGGCGGGAGGGGCACCGGGATGGAGGCAAAGGGAGGGGAGCGAGGTGGGCGGGGTGAGCGGGAGGAGGGAGGCTGGGCGGGCGGACGCGCCGGGGGAGGGCGCTGGGCAGGAAGGGGAGGGGGAGCGCGAGCGCGAGAAATGCAGAGGCTGCAGCGGCGGCGGCGGCAGCAGTAGCGGCAGCGGCGACGGCGGCGGCGGCAGCGCTCCAACTCGCTCCTCGCTCCGGGCTCCGCCGTCGAGCCGGGGAGAGAGCCACCGCCAGCGGCCAGGCACCCGGCCGGACGACGCCAGCGACCCGGGCCCCTCCGCGGCACCGCGCTCACCCAGGGGCGGCACAGGCACCCAGATCCGGTAAGGAGGCGCGCCCCGGTGGCCCAGCTGCCGCCGCGGACCCGGGTTGCAGGCCACCGGGGGCCTCCGTTCCCGACTCTGCCCCCGCCCCACCCCCGAGGCCCTTTGTTCTCTCTCGGCGCCGCAGCCCGGGGCGGGGAGGGAGTGGTGCGGTCCCCACTAGACGGCGCGGGTCGTGCGGTCCCCCTCCGTGAGGCCTCCGTCGCGCTTCGGGCATCTGGGGTGATGGGGGGCCCCGAGGTGGGTGGTTTCGACCGCTCGCAGGGCGGGGAGGATGGGGGGTTGGTGAGCCTGATAAACGGAGTTGGGGGTGGGCGGTGGGAGGGAAGCTGCTAGTTAAGGAGGAAATTGCCAAATGTGAAACCCTTTAAATGAATTGCGTCCCGAAGAGACGGTTTTGGGAGGCCGAGGGGAGAGTATCTGCCACTGGCCCTGTCCAGAGCCGGGAAGAAAGCGCTTGGTGCGAGGGGCGCAGCAGCAGAAGATGGGGGGGGGGGTGGGGTGGGGGGGGGGTGAGGGAGGGGAGAAGGAATACGGGGAATCTGGTGTGATCCGAAGGGAGGAGGCGGCTTTTTGGTTCAGCAGATGGGTTTCCTTGACCTGTGGGACTCCTGAATCTTGGCTTCGGGTGGCCAAGGAAACGCGAGGTTCACACGACAACGTGCCTCCAGAAGGACAGCTGAGCAGATCAGAGCCCCAGCCTCGGTCGTGGCTGAACTGCCTTCCCATGAACCCGTGGGCTACATCTGAGTATTTTATGTTTTCGAGTATTCGGTTCGGAGAATGCGTTGAGTGCCTCCTGTCGCGGGCCCGGCCGGGAGGGTGTGAGCTTGAACCTGACAGCGCGCGGCCCCTGACCGCCCAGCCCGGCTGTGAGCGAAGGTTTGGGGTTTAGCAGGTTTTGCTTAAAGCGCTAACACTGAAAGCCGACTCTCGGCCCTTGTTCGCCCTCCTCGCCCAGTCGCCCCCGCCTACCCGCCCCCCACCCCAAGAATAAAAATTGCAGAATCCCTGGGTCCGCGCGCACACACACAAAGCGTGGCTACAAACCGCATTCTTTCATGAATATTCATCGAACGCTTGGCTGGCCTCCTGATCTGCTTCCTCGGAGACATGTCCGCCTTGAAACGGACTCAGTGAACAGTCTTTGCCTGTGTAATTTTCACTCTGCTTAAATTAGCACAGCGCACACGGGTGCATTTTTAGTACCTTGACCAGGATTGACACCACACCTCGGTCTGCCGCGAGGCCACTAGCACATCTGTGGCGGGTTAAAAATCAAACACTAGTCTAGAGGTGGTCTTCCTGCAATAGGGGTGTGGATCAACCTCCCAGGGATTACAGCCGGGGCCAGCAGATCCTCAGTACTGCGGGCAAAATGAATGAATCGGGACTGTAATTACCTATTCCTTTGTCTTGGCGTGGCGCATGCGCCGGAGAACAGGGAGTGGAGGGCCCAGGCAGCCCTATCTGATCTTTCCATCACCCACCCCCCCACTCCCTTCCCAAGCCCAGGAACAAAGGCGTTTGCCCTAAACGTTGCGTGAAACCGCTGGATACAGATGACAGTTTTTTCTTTCCCCCCTTGTGTGTGTATTTCTTCTTTTCCAGGCTATCTCATCTCTTGCTTTCTTAGCGATTTCAATTGATGAAAAATAAGATTAGCCTTGACGATGAGGGCAAACTGGGGATTAAATATTTTTGTAACCGAACACTGCTGTTTTCCTTTCTCGTGCTGTTCATTATTCTCTTTCCTGTAACGTATTGCGCTGCAGTGATGGTGGCTGTCTTCATGTGCATCAATTAACCGTTTGTCTGACAGATTTTTGCTGCTGGCCATTTGATTAAGGGACCTTGGTCTCAGAAATGACAGTGGGCATTGCCCCTAGTGTCACTCCTTGGGAAAAATTAAGACATTTTGGCGTTTATACGAACAAGATGGCCTACAAAACCCAGAGCTGAGAAAAAGGGTTACCTTGTCAGGATCCTAACGCTGTCTGTTTTCTCTTGATTCCTAGTACCTCATTGTTTCATTAGGAATCCCAAAGAGGAACCCCATGGAGATGGAAATCCACTGATAGGAGAGGAAGAAGCAGCTGGGGCTGCTGGGGTGAAGATGGTTGATTAAATTCTTCATTTTTCTGTGTCTAACAGAAGCCATGAGCCATTCTTTCTCTCTCTCTCTCTCTCTCTCTCTCACACACACACACACACACACACACGCACTTGATGGTTGATGACTGATTTTTTTTCCAGTGATGCAGTAACCAGATTATGGCCTCTTTTTGGGCTAGTTTGTTCTACCAACTAAAAGGAGACTTACTGTGTGTATAAAAAGGAGCTAAATATTAATAATATTTTCACAATGGTACGTCATGCTTGAGAGAATTTTATGCCTAAGTATTCTCGGTACACCCTGGCAAGACAACACGTGGCAGGAAAATGGAAATCATCTCTTTTGTTCCTTTTTAATAAAACTTGATATTGATCAAGTTTACTGTATCAGGACCTTTATTTGGTAGGGTGACTGCCTGCTACCCTCTCTACTCCTTAGTATTGAGTGTTTTTTTTTTTTTTTTTTATGGTTTAGAGGGCTAGATGTAGGGTTTTTTTGTTTGTTGTTTTTTTTCTTTTCCTTTAGGTTATGTTTTTGAGATGAGTCAATATAGACCACATGCAATAGCAAACATATGCCAATATGTCCTCAATTCAATGAATCTTAGGTTTTTGAGGAAGATAATTCTTAAATTGAATTATAAATGATCAGTTATCTTTTTCTTTTATCCAACTAGCTTTCTGGCAAGCTTTAACAGGTAGAGAAAGGGAGTTGGGCCTTTTGACAAAATGCGCCAACAATGACTACACAGTATTATCAGTGGCGCCAGTGGCGCATCTCTCCTTAACTGGTGCTCACGCTGTGATTATGTGGGCACAGGAGGACCTTTCCTCCCCACAGACCACCCTAATTTGAACATCTAATTTGAACGGAAGAGCCCTATGGGCTTTGGCTCCCTCTCTTTGGAGGCATCTTTACATCTTCCTGGATTTACTAGACCAAACCATATTATAATCTAAGATGTGACATATTCTGTCTCTCTAATTTTTGTCTTTTTTAAAAAAAATTCACATTAACAACAATTTTAAACCATTTTCATTCCGTGATCAAGATAAGTGGAGTATGAAAAACTTAGGTTTGGAGGAGATTCGGTCACTGAACAATGGATGTCTGCAATAGTCACTGTAGTTTTGTAAAAAAATGGCAAAATCCGAAACCATTTTTAAAGCAAGTAAGGTGCCGTGTATATACTCATACACAATTTATACGTATATACTCATGTTACGAAATAAAATTTTATTAATGATATGAAACTAAACTAGTTGGTGTAGAATATCATTTTACAGTGCTTCATAATGGTCTTCGGAAAGTAATCAATTTTCTGTTTTTCTCAGTATGTGTATAGACGGGAGAACATAACTAGTCTACTGAGATGCTCATTTCCAATTTTTACCCATGTACCCCTGAAACAGATGGGTTGCATTGAGCATCTGAAATTAACATGCTCATTTATGGGCTTAAACATTCACATAAAGCCCTTTAAAAGCTGTAATAAACAATGCTTCCTAAATAAAAGATTTATAATAAAGTTGCTTTGCCTTATTTTTGTTATCATTTGTAAAATTTTGTTCTGAAAAATATTCAGAAAAGGCGTGCTAACTATTTGTCCAAAGCAATTGCCTTTGGTGTCTGCTTCTGTTGCGAGCGATGCTCTGGTTTGCTTAGGTCTTTATCTTTCTAATAGGTAGTTTTTACCTACTCATTTTACACCCTGTTTATCAAAAGATTAACATCTTCTTAATGATTGTTTTAGCTGGTAAACTGGAAACCAGGTAACTGCTAAGGGAAAACCGAGCATGTGTATGGGTTGAAGTTCTGGGGGTGGGGGGAATGGGTGCGGAATCTGTCGTTTTATCAAGTTTTCTCAACTCACTGAATCCTTTGCATTTATTCTGCCTCTTAAGACTTTGGATAATACAATGCAGTGTGAACTTTACAGCTTAATTCTGGTGGATTAGTATCAGGAAATAACTGAGCTTGTGCACAGCCAGAATGTTTATTAAAGAGCAAATACTGTTGATGGAGAGGTTTCCTAGGATGTAGTTAGTGGAAAAGAGAGTCAGTTTGAAAAATCTCTAGGCACTGGCTCGGCCACTTTGGCCAAATTACTTCAAACCTCTTTGAATTTCACTTTATTCAATTGTATAATTGGAGTAATAATTCCTAATTTTAGGCTATAATGAGGACCACACATGATGTCTGAAAAGTGCATAAGTACAGTGGCTGGCTCTTAGGGGCCGGCCTAACCTCTCAGTCTGCATTTTCAGCACAGTCATCAGTGTGATTGACATCGGTAACTAATTTCTGTATATTGAGCTGTATTTTTGTTTCCACGCTGATTAAGACCTGAGGGTTTCGGTGTATTCAGTCAGAAATAGGATATTTCAAACCTCATGTAGATATTTGAAATTCTGTGAGATGCTGCATGGGAATTTGCCTCAAAGTGGATTGAATGAAGCTAGGATGGCCACCCTCACTGAATTTACCATGGCTGCTTATGTAACTCAAGAGATGGCATTTAAGTTCTTTTGAGAAAATACAGGGGTAGTCTTAAAACCACAGAGGTTCTCAGCCTGCCAAAGGAAGGTTTTTGTTAAATGCCATTCCCTCCGCTGCTATTAAGACAGACATCTAGGTAAGTGCCGTGTGAGAAAAAATGTCCAGGAAACCTTATCAAAAGTAAAAGGTAATCATTTAGGGAATCAAATTCTTACCAGGATACAGTGAAATTGTAATTTTGAAAAGACACAAGCCTAAGAAGCAATGAGGTTAGACCACAGCCTTTTTTTCTCTCTGGAACTCAGAAATGGGATGAGATGGATGCAGAGTCTCAGAGTGTGTTTTCCCTCTTCTGCACCCTGAGGGTTTAAGTAACTTTAAAAAT